GGGTGATACTTACTGGTTAACCAGTTAACCTTTCACATGCCTATTATATAGTGCTATGGAAATAGAGGTCCAATATCATGACTATTTAAACACAAACATGCAATGTGGCAGGGCCATTCTGTAGTCCATTGCAGTCTTCCCACCACTTGTCTGAATGTAATGTTGTAGCCTGGAGCGAAGTGCAAAAATGCAGTGCCTTAGAAACAGATATAATATGATCTGTCAACATATAACTTTTTAATCACTCAATAAATCTAGACACAACAGGAATATCTCCACTGACAAGGTCACATGATTAAGCTGTACCTTTCCTATTAACATTATTTATACTAACCAGCTCTTGCATGCTAACTTGCAGGATTGTGCCCATACTCATGTGAAGAGCTAGGCAGGACATGCCATGAACATTTTGAGAGTCTGAAATTTCTCCCCCATCCCCAAATTGGGATGAAAAGTTAAAATCTTGCAAATTTTCACAGTCTGAAAACATTTTGTTTGTCTCTGCTGAAAAGTTTAATTTTTATTTGTACTATGAATTAGCTTGAATTATTACATGAAATGCCATTTCAAGCCAGGAAATTTGAATTTGTTTAGAAAACTTTGAGTTCCACTAGTTCCAAAGCTCTTTCCTGCCCTTACATCTCCACCCCAAAGTTTTTTCAAAATCAAAAAAATTGTCAGAACTGACTGCTACTGAAGATACACCTCCATTTCAAATTACAGGCAGTCCCCGGGTTACGTACAAGATAGGGACTATAGATTTGTTCTTAAGTTGAATTTGTATGTAAGTCGGAACTGGTACATATTGTAGGGGAAACTCTAGCCAAACATTTCTCCAGAGCTCAGTTTTATTCTCCCACACCTCACTTCCCTCAGGCTTTATTCTCAAGCTGAGGTGTCTGCTGAGAAAAGCCGCTCCACGTCTCCCTGGTCTGCTGGGGGGGGAGGGGGCGCTAGCTTCGCGTCTCCCTGGTCTGCTGGGGGGAGCGCTAGCTTCGCGTCTCCCTGGTCTGCTGGGGGGAGCGCTAGCTTCGCGTCTCCCTGGTCGATTATAAAACATTTAGCTGAAAAATGTCCAACAAGTTCTATTCATATGAGTGGATCAAACTTACACAATGGGACTTCTTTCAAGACAGTGTTGTGGAACTGTGGTATTGAGTAAGGATGTTAAGAAGCAGGTAATTGACTAATCGTGTAGTTGATACAGTTTGTATTGACTACACGATTAGTAAATAAGGGAAGACAGGGCCCAGGAGCTACCCCCACTGTGACTTTGCACTTTAAATGTAGTAGGAGCCAAGTGCACAGTACACTTAAACTGCAGAGCCACAGTGGGGGTAGGTCCCACTCCCAGGTTGCACTGAGTCGTGAACTGCTGCACATCTGCCTTTTAAATGTAGTAAGTAGCTGCACCTCTGCCTCTCCACCTCCTGTGGAGACGATGCTGAGGGGCAACCGGTTTTTATGCTGGCTCCCCCCAGCACTGACTCTTGCTTCTAGGGATGTTAAATTTAGATTAATGGGCTAATCTAATAGTTGATGCAATTTGCATCAACTACTCCATTAGTCCATAAGGGCGCCTCTGCCTTCAAAGGCGAAAGCATTGCGGGGAGTACCGGGCCAGCAGAGGACTCAAGCAGTCCCCCCACTGACCCTGTGCTCTGTGTGGCGTTTCAAAGCAGCAGCGTTGCGTGGAGCCCTGAGTCCCCTGCTGACCCCAGGCTCCATGTGGTGCTGTTGCTTTGAAACGCCACAGGGAGCCTGGTGTCAGGCTCCGCACGGAGCCCCAGGTAGGCAAGGGAGTCCCCAGCTGACCTTGGGCTCCATGAGGCGCTGCCACTTTGAAACACCACATGCAGCCCAGGGCTAGCTGGGGACATGGGCTGCATGCAAAGTTTCAAAGCAGCAGACCCCAGGCTTCATGTGGCACTGCTGCTTTGAAGCCCCCCCCCTTTTCCTCCCCTCACTGCCTCTTTCTGATAGAGGCAGCAAGCGGGGGAGGGGGGAGAGGGGGAAGCGAGTAGTGTGTCCACTATCTGATAAGCATTTGCTTATTGGAGAGTCAACTAGTCGTTAACATCCCTATCTGCTTCCCCCCACACTTTGCTCCCTTTGATACAGGGCGAGCCTAGGCTTATCGGGTAGTCGACTACTCAACTAGTTGCTTAAATCCCTAGCATTGAGGTTCATGCTGTTGTAGAGAAAGTGTTTCAGTCTCCTGACCAGCCCTCACCAACTAAACAAGAAAAAAATCAGTTTGTCTACAACTTACAAAGAAATACAAGATTTTTATTACTTAAGTTCCCATTTTCAACTTAACCATCAGACTCAAAGTTCATTAGCAGGATCTCTAACTTCATACTAACAACAAATGAACAGGACAAATAAATGCAGCAAAATACCAAATACTGATCTGAAATAGTCCATTATTTCTGTAGCACCTGAAGGTTACAATCAGAAATTGGGGCCCCATTATGTTACATGCTTTATCAACGTGTAGTAATTATTCTATTTATTTATGTATGAAGCGCATACAATAACGGAAGGGTTCTGCTCCATGGAGATCATATATAAGGGCAGATGTATGAACAAGTAATACAAAGGTCAGGGAAGAGGAACACAAAAGGGATTTTCTATGCAAACTGATGAGATGCCTTATATGTAGTGTAACAGAAGTAAGTTTTTAAGAAAGACATAACAATGGAGAAAGTTGTGGGGCCTTGTATATGTGCTGGGGATGGTCAAGCCACACATTGAGGCCACCTGGAAATAAAAGCACAGCTGTCAGTGTTTTAGAGACTTACAATCTGGAGAGCATTGATCCTGCAGCGAGCTGTGTACTAGTACACGGGTCCAATCATATGGAGCTCATAAAATCAGGGCTAGGGTACAAATACCATTTTAAGCTAAGTTTAAAAAAAATAAGGTTGAATTAATTGTCTCAAGAACATCTGTTGAATATGAGCTCTTTTTTTCTTGTCACCATATGAGACCATACAGTTTTATGAGCAATAAACTCTATCCATTAACCTAAGCAGATTCAAATGGCTTCATAATATGAGAGACTTAGGTTAAGGAAGAATTTCACTGCAATCAGGTTTGGAGGGTACTCAGACTTCAAACCTTTGTGTGTTGTGAAATAAAAGTCTGTTTCCCAGGAACTGGATTAAGCAATATTTATTTTCTCTCAAGTAACATTAGCACTTTTCAATATTTACTATTTTTAAGTAGCTAAAATAGGAAAAAATCTTTTGATTAAAAAAAAAAAGACATTGTGCTCTTACTAGACCTTAACAAGCGGTATGAAGTCACTTACTCCAAAAAGGGAGGTGTCTGATTCATAAGGGGGAAAAAAGCTACAGGAACGTGATCAATTGTTTGACAGCCATGTGATCTCAAGAACTGGGGGAGGGGGAGGAAAAGGAAGAGTATATATTTGGTATTTGTTCCATGATGTACAAAAATATCTAATTTTTTTAAAAATTAGTTTATCCACATTGTGCCTTCTAACCAGTTTTCGCCAAGGGCATTCCAGACAATAGAGTGAATTGCTGATCTCTTCAGTTCTTAGCCCACTTAAGACTAAAATCAAGACTATTTATGGAACAATAAGAGATCCTTAGCGCACACAACAGGTTTCCAGCAGCAATTATGGCTTGCTATATGACAAACCAACAGACTTTGATTTAGTCCACAGGCTATTTTATGAAAAAAAAAAAAAAAAGGCCACCGCAGTCTGCAAAGCAATGGCACACAGCTAGCTTTGTTCCTTCTGCTTTAAGCTTCCGTTCTTGCACGAGATAAGAAGTAAAGGCGTTTGTGGGACTCTTGCAGATTGCAGTGGATTGTCTCATCCCTTCATACATATGCACAAGTTGATACGAGCCATTTCCTTGGATAATAGGGACTTTTTGTTTCCATTAACCCCACTTGGAGATGGGGGAAAAGGAGGACTGGAGGCTGGGATGCTCACAGACCGATTAGGTGTGTGGAATACTAAGAATATGGAAATCACACACTACACAACGCGTAGTGCCATTCAAACCTGTTTCCTTCTCGCATCACAAGGAACTACTCAATATCGGGCTATAGCAGTAAAGCCACTAGACACACACACCCCTCAGCCTCTTTGCACCCGTAGCAAATGCTCCACTGACCCACAAAGGCACCGGGCTAAGCTGCAGCGACCAACCTCCCGCCGAGAGGCAAGCTCGGTCTTTTCTAGCCCGCCCTGGCTGTCAGCAGGAGTCCTGGCTGCATGGTTAGGGGAGGGCTTCGCACGCCACACGGGGGAAACCCAGGCCGGCCAAACCCTCGCCTTCCCCGCGCCTCGCCTGGCCGCCCTCCCCGCAGCCGGAGCTC